CAGTAAGAGGCCTTGAGTCCATCGGGATAAATCGTACTAACAATGAATAGCTCTCGGTGCCTTTCCATAAGGACATATGTGTTTAAAATCTCTTTCCTTCTCTAATGAGACTTTCTGTCTACCGAACCAATTGAAAACCAAAACTGGAAAAGTGATGCTCCAAAATCTCAAANTCTTTTTGTCAACCAAACAAAGTGAAAACCAACACTTGACCAGTGAGGAAACAACAATGGCTGTTTATGAAAATATAGAGAGAAGCAATAGGTTTTTTTTTTTATTTCCTTAGACACCAAAAATATTCCTACTATGTATTGCAATCTAAAATTTAATAACATAAAGTTTGAATTGTTCCCTCCATTTATTCAAACTTTAAAACACTAAACTCGAACCGTACGTGGGCATGTAACCCCATTACAATCATCAAAAAAAATCGAACCAACAACATCTGGTTTTATAAAAAAAAAATCTAAAATTTAATAACAAATCAGAAACAATAACAAGCACATGAATCAAGCATATAAGAAACGAAGTTTGGGTTGTTCATCCAGAAACACAATGAAAAAAGAAGAAAGATATCAAAAGAAATACCAAAATCTAACGGTGATAAGAATGCATCGAGAATATTCAGGATGGAGACGGAACGGTGATAAAAAATCTAACGGAGCTCTGATAAAAACCTTTAGATAAGCGTTCTCCGAGGAAGGAAAGAAACAGAACAAAATCAATAGAAAATAGAAAACAACGAACAAAACTTAATCTCGAAACAAACAATCTCTATGTATAAATAATTCCCGAGGAACTGATATCTTACGGTGTAGACAATTTCCTTTCTATTGAGATTTTTGTCTTCAAACCCAAATCACAAAACTGTGATAAAAGCAATGCACTTAGTCATCAAGTAAACACTGTTTGACAACCAACCAAATAAACCCAAAACATAACAATCTTAAAACTCATTTAATTTGGGGAGACACCATATCGAAGTACATGTTACTAACAAAGATTAATGGTGAAGAGAAGAGAGACTAACCCAATTGAATGAACATATTGGTGACGAGAAGGAATCCTTAAGAGATCAGTCATCGGCGTAACACGTTTGTGACGAGACGTTAACAATAAACGAATCTACGATCATCAATTCTTAAACCCAATCACGACTCTTCCGAAATTGAATCCATAATCGAAAATGAAGCTACCAATTTCCCTAACATTTCTTTAGAATTCTCTAGTAGGAAGAAAACATGAAACGAGTCAAGTTTTTACAAAATACATGATCAAACAATCACAAAAGTAAGAATTTTAGGATATGTTAGAACATAACATCATTACTTACCAGAAGTGTGATTGCTAAATTTGCCTCTTTCGATAACGAAGTCGGGATTCTTGGTGGGTATTGAAGAGGAAAACAAGATTCAGAAGAATCAAAGATTTGCAAGCAAGTGGACAGAATTGATGATTTAGACAATTGCAGAGAGGGAGTGAATCGAAGATATTGAATTGAAAAGTCGGAGGGGTGAGAAAAACGCTGGAGAATAATTTGACTGCGTTAACATGACGGAGAAAACTGCTTTCTCAAACCTTGCATCTCTTCGTTTTTTTATAAAAAAAACTGCTTTCTTTCAGAAATTCTTTACACCCCTGGATTATTCTGGAGCAAACCATTTCTTCATTCGCTCCGGTAAGTGCCTCCTACACTGAACTTTCAATTTCCAACTTTTCATTCGCTATTGAACGTTTTGTGATGTAGTATTTGGGTTTCTATGAAGCTTTGGTTGATTTTATTCTCGAGTAAAAGGTTAGTTTCTTCTTTTGCGTTTGATAGTCGGATTACTTTTGATGGAGATTGGAAATTTCAAACGAAGATTAACGATTTTTGGTTTTGCTTTGTGATATGCATGTGACTTAAAAAGCTAATTGATCCGAACTAAGAGATCTAATCTTGGATCGTATATGTTACAAAAAAATCTAATTGATCCAAACTTTGAAGGGGATTGTTTAGGATTGTAGCTTTTATACAAAAAACTAATTGAAAACCGAGAAACAGAAAACTACCAATAATGAAGCACATACATATATAACACCAAGAGTTTCCTAAAGAAACGAATCTGTACAATTAAGAGTAAGCGATTAGTGAAGGGTTTGGTTCAGATTTCTCTGGTTTTAAATTGTGGAGAGGATGAATTTGTGGAGAATATATCATGTATTCTATTTATATAATCTATAAATTGGCGATTGGGTATGTGTCTGAGAGGTTGTGTCTTTACACAACCATTGCGATTCATTAAAAAATTTCCCGAGGATGTCACCAGTAAAGAATGACGTCAGCGGTGAAAGTTTTTCCTCTTTTAAATAAAATCTTGACCATCCGTTAGATGAACACAAATTGATATCAACCATTAGATGTTAATTTTTTTTCCTATAAAAAAAAGGTGACGTCATCATTCTCAAAAAACTGTTTTCCTATTATATATAGATACTCTTCGTATCCTTTTGTATCAAGAATCCGTTGGCATGAAAAGTGGAGAAGATATCTGCTCCCATAACATCCCGGTTCATAATATTACCACCGGAACGACATTTCTAACCATTTCAATAAAAAAGAAAGAGAGAACGTGAAAGAAATAATTAAGTCGAATGAAGGGGAACCATACGTAATATGATTATGGATAGAATCGATTTGTCATTTGATTTCTTTGCAAGGTTGAATGGATGCGGGTGATGTTGATTGCGGAATTATGAACTTCTGAACGTGATGATGAATGAAATGATGAACGATATTGCTGGGCAGATGGATCTGTTCTGGAACG